GAAAACTCTGAAGCTATATATTCGGATTTGGTCACCCTAGTTTCAAGTGTCAAAGTCAAACCATCTAAAAATATGTTACAAGTCCCACCATCAAGGTGTTTTTAAGTACATACAAATTGCCATGCCGAAGCCCATTAGCCCAGCAATTTGTTATTCTGATATCAATTTGATTACTTAATTCGAACATTTCATTTTTAAAGTTTTTTTTTTTTTTTAAAAGGCATTTCATTTTTGAAGTTAAGAGTTGTTAGCTGATGAACTTGCTAAAACTTACCAGTCAACTCTTGTTACGTAATATGTGTTCTGCTATGACTTATGAGCTCAATTCCATAGGTTGGAACATCCTATGCATGTATGTATCGTGGCCGTAATGGGAGATCTGGACCATCTGGTGTCTTGTCGGAAAGAAATGCTTATTCTTGCAGTCGAGAGTTTGGGTTCCTAGCTTTTGTAGGCAAACGTGAACTTTAAAGAAACATTATAATGTTGTAATTAAATTAAATTAAGTTAAATAAACACCCTTAGAAATATGTACATACCCACATTAATTAATTATATTAAACTTTTTAAAAAATTATCGATGCATATTTGTTCAAATACTAATATTTTCTATCTTTGAGAGGAAAACATTAAAATAGTTAAGTTTATTTTAATAATTGTCAAACAATATTTTCAACATGACGAGACAAAAAATAAAAGAAATTTCTCTTCTTTTTTTGTTTTTTTTTTGTCTGAATTTCTCTTTGGATACGGCTTTAACAATCTAAGTCCTAATCATTGGCCTTAACCGTTCTAATAATCATGTTTAGCTTAACAACTTAGGAATCTTTGGTAGCTCACATGCGAATGTCATATATAGCATGTGGATTTCAGTTCCCCGTGGGCCGTGGCGGCACATTGCAATACGTGTCGATTTGCAATTTCACTTATGCACTTATAGATGTTTCTCTTTATTTCATACGAGTTTTAGAAAAGGAAACAAAAAACAAACAAACATGAGATTTTACTCTACGATGATAATAATACATCAAGAAGAAAACGTCGATGTTAGAAAAAAGAAAAGAGAGCTACTTTTGTTAACCATATGATATTGGAAACAGAGACAGTGAAAGCTATTAAATTGTTGTCACGAGACTGAGAACGATGTTTATCTAACCCATATGAGATTACCTGACGCAACAAATATTACTTTAAATGTTAATAGAGATAATTAGATACGTAAGCATTGACCTATTTGATTATGTTTAAAAGTACAAAGTAATATTCCTTATTATAACAAAATATTCCTTTGATTGATGTTAGTTTATTTAAAAACTTTGTAGCTTTTAATTGGAACCCACTAATCTCTCCACTGCCACGTAGACTTTTTTTTGGTTTGGTGAGATGACACGTAGACTTTATGTCAAAGCTACTACTTACGTTAGGATACAACATTTTATTTGCTTTATTATCAAAAATGGTATCTAGATTAAAAAAATTGAACACTCAAAAATGTAAATTAGATTATTGTCATTGGCCGGTCTCAGTCTCACGATAGTAATCGTGTAAACTCTATAGGTTATATGATATTAGTACTATATTGAAATAACAATTAAAGCAAAGGACACATATTTAATATAATTAATCCCTAAGTTCGGCATCTCAATAATAGAATACTCTAATTTTTATTGAAATAAAATCTTGGCAAGATCTTCTTATTGACGTATGTCAAAGAGTTTTTACAAAGTCAATGAAAGATTACTAAATTAGTGGTTGACAAATTCTCTCAACACATATTTTTGGGTTGGTTTATTACATTAGTTACCTAATTGTCTTATGTAACAAAAATTCAATTCGTGGACATTTTTTCACTCTCTTTTTCTCGAGATCATCGGACAAATAGCTATCCATTCCATTGATAGGCCCTTGTGGATCGAATTCTTATGTAATTGGATAGACTTGAACTAAAGTATAAAATAATCCCAAAATATGTAAGAAAAACATATATTTTTACTATTACATGGACCAACCATGAATATAATTTTACCCCAAAAAAAAAAAGACAAACTAGACTTACATAATTGAATATGTAACAGCTAAGCAACCGTGAAGTGAAATTATAAGAAATAGAACTGTTTGGATTAGAGTGACAAAAAAAAAAAAAAAAAAACTGTTTATATTAAAAGTTTAACCGTAGCATTTTTCATGCAACTAAGAATGAATAAAGTAACTAACCAAAACCTTAAGACCAAATTTTGTGTTTGATTAGTTTTAACAAAAAATATAGTGTTTGGTTACTAAAACTTTGTTCATTGTATTTGGGTAGCCAATCATTCGTGGAAATAAAGATGTTACAAGATGGGCGGCAGAATAAACTATTTTCTGTTAGCAATTAAGCACCGATATATATACCCTAAAACTAAAAGAGTTAATATTGAGTTAATATTTTAAGATAAACAAATATAGAGAAGCTTAGTAGTTCACATGCACAGAAAGAAATTGGAAAGAAGTGGCCATATAAAGACAATGAAGCTTACATAAACAAAAGACAATTAGGATGTCGATTTGTCTGGTGAAAGTAGCTAGGACTCATGATCATTTTGCACCATATATATGTTTTTTATATGCAGTTTAGGCAGAGCCGTCCCTACACTTACTACAACTACAAGCCGGACAAAAAAGAAGGCCACTTTCTTCATATTCACATAAAAAAAATTTGATCAAAATAAACATAAAACTGATATGGTTAACAAAAGCATTAAAAGTTCTAAAACATCACATATTAATAAAAAAAAAATTCCTAAATATGATTTTTCTTGCATTTCTACTTGCAAATTCATCTATCAAATCTTTGTAGTCAAGTTTTTCCGCCAAACTTATGTAAGAGGATCTGATTTTATAAGATGGATTCTTGAATAGGAATGAGATATGGAGACAAAATCAATGATTTTGAGGGCAAAAAGGATGTGCAATGCAGTAGGGGCTAAAAAAAAAAAGTCTTTTATTATCTTTGGAGGCTCGAACCATGGAGGTGGACGTCAAAACTCACTAACTACGCACCACTAGACCACATACTTACTACATGGAAAAAGGCCGATTTTTTCTTATATATTAAAGGCCGCAAGCATGTGCTTGCCCTGCTTGTGTCATTCAACGGCTCTGAGTTTAGGTTCGTAAACTTCGTGCATGCATTAGTTCATCAACATTCACATATAGTTTATGCTCTCCCATCCATATATTTAGTATCGGTATACAATGTGATGATCTTCAAAAGTTTAACTTCATAAGCATGCCAGCCTTCAATATTCTTCTCTTAAATCATGAACCATGCTCCTCAAGTTAGTAATATTTTATTTTTTAGAATGAAATTCGTCTACTAAGGAAGGAGTAACGAATAAATAGTTTAGTAGTAGTATAGGTTTAAATAATATAGTTTTGGATAATGTGAAACCGGCGCATTTGCTCGTTGATTAATTCGTAATCCAGAAGTTAGTAAACTGATTATTCAATTTGTGGGTTTCTTATGGACCAGCCAAGTGGATAAATAAGAGAACAATTTAATTAGGAATCTAATGATGTTTCAGTCCACTCTATTCATTATCTTATCAAGAAAGAGTAAAAATGCTACGTCATAACAATTTGCACTTGCAAATTAAAAAACCTTTATTCTATTATACAAGATAATTAGCATTATCGTTAGTATACATGCCACAAATCTGATAGAAGAAAAACAAACTTGTAATATTTACATGTAAAATAAAAACTACTCAGCTTTAAATATATTGACATTAAACGCTATAAGTAGTTTACATTTTTAAACCTGCTCATCATTTGCCTACTTCATAGTATTATTTTCCATGGAGCAGAATGTGACACATCTTCCTCCTCTCGTCGCATAGAAATCCAAATAATTATTTATCATATGGGTACCGGCTCGCTTTTGTATTAATTAGTGTATATACTAAATACCTATATAATATTATAATATAATTAGGGGATAATGCACCAAACTTTTATTCGATAAAGGTGATATAAAAATAAAAGTGCGTAATCATAGAGTAGTTCGGAAAATACAAGTCCAAAAACTTGGAACCTAAAACTGAGCACTTTTTAGTTGTGTATATACAAGTATATAGCCGTAATGAACATATTACATATTGGCTAGCAAATTACAAGAATATATATAGTTTAAATAAAATTTTCCAATATCTTTATAAACTACAAGATAACGATCTGGAAGAGTTTCAAATACTGTAAGAAAAAGTTCAATTACAGAAATTTCTATAACGTAACTATTGTTCTTTGAACTCTCCTATAATTTTTATAATTATTCTGACTATTCATTTATAATATACAGAAATTTTAGAAAACACTATTCTAGTTAATTGATATTACAACGTTGTGATTATTTATACTACCTTCATAACATAAAGCTTGAATTTTGTATATAACTAACTATTGATATAAACATTCATATTTATGTTTTAATTTGTAGAATCATAGTATTAAACTAGTTTGAACATTTCAAACCAACCAAATAAAGAATAAACAGATAGAGCAACCCCACAAACCAAGATTCCAAAGCCAACATTCCCCATCATTGACAGCAAAAATATAAAATTAATTTCATAAGAAAACAATTTTATATATGTAAAATAATAATAATTTGCTTATAACCTATTAAAAAAACATAATTTCTCAAAACCTCTGCTATGTATATAATACAGCCTCACGCATGTTTCATCTGTTGCCACCAAATTACAAAACAACCCGAAAACAATAACTCTCCTTTTTTGCTCTTCCAAATCATTTAATTCATGGAGAGTTCAATGAACAATGCTTTCATTACGAGCAAACATGAAACGACGACGTTTACAGACGACCAAGCTCCGGAGGAAAGTAGCTGGACTATGTACTTTGAGGATTTCTTCGAGGCGTCTTCGAGCATAGTGGACGTTGGAGATTGCAGCTCTTCCTCCATCTCCGACGCAGCCTCGTTCGTGGCCACCAAGAAGACCCTCAACGTGTCTAAGCAACATGGATCTATTAATTATTCCATGAACTTCAAGAGGACAAGAAATAGAGAGATTCCTTTTGGTCGTCATCACCATGATCTTGAAGACACTGCTTCGTCTCCTTCTCATAGCCCTAACGTTAGTCTCACACTCTCTCTCTCTTTCTCTCTAGACTCTATGTATATATGAATATATGAATACGTATTTATATATGTATTTTTACAGAAATATGGTTATAACCTAATGATGATAACTTAGTAGTTATAATAAGGTTTACTATGTACACAATTATGCGGTAAAAAACTAAGACGTAATCGTGAAAACACTATAAGAACACTTTGTCGAAAGTTTTTAAGAACTATATATATAATGTATCAATGTAGCTACTATGATCAATCAATCATTGATAACGTTAGACGTCAAGGTTAGAGAGTCATTTTTTCTTTCATTTTTTTTTTTTGTTGTTGTCGATCGAGAGAAAGAAGCAATTTATTATAGTTTTAGGTTTCGACTCATAATGTAAATAAACTTAGAAAGCAATAATGCAAAAACTTGATGCAACAATCTGTTCCATTTCCAAAGTTCTTATTTTGACGTCAATGTATATAATAATCACCTTTAACAAGTCAAATGTACCATAACTAATTTAGTCCATAAATAATTAAATTGTTATTAATTAAATATATATCATCAATTTGTGATTTTTTTATCTTCTTCTTTTTTTTTATAGGTCAATAGCATGATGAACCTATTGGATAACAACACTAGACACGGGGGTTGTCTCGTTTGTGATGACACAATTAATGTAAGAAAACACATTAACAAAATAAATAGTTTAAATTTATATCGATAAACAATAGAGTTGATTAATCATATGTTTACACGATTATATTTCCGATATATCTAACAGTTAATTTACCATACGATAAACTTTTCAACAGGAGAAAAGAGAGAGTGCAGTGGAAAACCAAGTAGACTTGAAGAAAAAAGGGCTTTGTTTAGTTCCTTTGTCTATGGTCACCAATTATCTTGGTTGATTATAAATAATAATCCTTATTCATTCTTTTTGTTTCCAATATTTTTTTTTTCTTCTTTTAGAATTAGAATATTAATACTTAGTAGATTTTTTTCAGTCATATGTTATTCACTTAGTTGTTGAGATATGTTTGTGTAACAAATTACATATGGCTTGTGATTTGTATATATATTTGGGATTCATATTTTTATTGAAATATATACATTTTCGATAATGAGTCATACAATAATCAATAGAAATTTTTCAAAAATGTTTTAGTAATTTTGTCTCGCTGGCTATGCGCCATATAGGCATATATAGATCAGATTTCTGTGTACTTATACATTATTGACAAATGTGGTATTCAGTACCTAACCCCCCTAGCTAGGTCACAAGATGACTGTGCATAACTGCAATTAATTAGTAGCTCATCAATATGTTAAAACATATTTTTAGGTCAAATTAATTTGAGAAACTCAATCTGAAAGACATATACATATCTCCAATGGTGAAATATCTATTAGGTACCTCATCAATATATTTTAATTAGAATTTTATATTTTTAAATAACCTTTTGAAACAAATCAAATTACATTTTATATACTCAATTGTATTATAAGAGTAACAATCATAAAATCTCACATGATTTTGAAAGCAATATAATTATCATAAACTTACATAACACTGTATAATTAAGCATACAATTATAAACATAATATTTTCTCTCTTACATAATACAAGTAAGCATAAAATAAACTAGTATAAACTTATAAGAAATACAATTATTTGTTTCAAACTCTCAGTTTTTAAATAATGTATTACTGTATTAACAAAAAAAAACATAAAACATAAAACTTCAAGTAATATTAATCAAAACAATATTAATATATAATTTAAGTTTATGCATAATAGAGCTTGATATATAGATAATTTTATTTTCTTATTTATAAAAATAAAAATAGAAAATAGGAATATATATAATCTATTTAATTAATATATATTCTAAGCTATGTAAAATATGATTTGAGACAAAAAAAAGAAAAAAAAAATTGTGAACCATTATAAAAAGACATTTGTTTATGTTTTGATGAGAGAGTACTGTCTCTCATTTCAGAAACGTATCTAGCCAATTTCGATTTAAAATATATATATGTATATCTAGTTTGACAAAATAAAAGGATCTCTAGTTGATAAATCATTTTAAAAAAGCCACAACGGGAGAAAGCTAAGTACGAGATACAAACAAAATACAAAATACTGCATAGGTCTGAATTTTTTTTCTACAGAAAATTGTTAGCGACCATTATTTTCTTCCTATTGTTGCATCACAAAAACCTATGATATTAAATTAGTTTAGAATCGAGGTCATTACTTATGATATCTTTCAACAGTTTTCCTAATGTTTCATGAATCTTTCATCTTTAGATTGCTATATAATCAATATATTACCGGCTTTCTATTTTCTTTAGCGTTTTAATTATGATTCACTAAATCTAGGGTTATATGACATGCTTTCCTATACTAGAAACGATTACGAATTTTAATTGTATATTTAATATATGATTCTCATGATCATTGGAAGACATTTAATCCTAACATGGCATGTTTACGATATGCTTACATACATAATGTACATGTTTAAGAAGTAGTTTTATAGAGTTTCTATTTTCTTTGTAAAGGTGAATTCTCTATAATTTACCATTTTTTCTTTATACACAAAGAACGAATAGTAAGATAGTTCTCTAGTATCCAAGTTTTCCATTTTTTGGTAATCACTAATATCGAAATTTTCCTATTTCGAAGCTAAATTACTAATATAAAACCTCTTCATTTTTTAATTGAATATACGTTTCTTTCAGTTTTCAATTACTAAAAAAATACAGATCGAAAGAGAAGGGAGAATCATGGTGGAGGGCATGGGTCTAGTGTTTTTTATTGGCTTCTTTGCGGTTTTTGCATTCTTTTTATGTTTCGCCATCTATATGTTTTACATCTACTGGAGAAGCACCAAAGAGACTAATCCTGCATAATCGGTTATCTTATACTTTATACGTCAATGTCTCTATCTAAGATGATTTATTTTTTATTGTTTTCTATGTAGTTTTCGTTTTATTAGAAATCTATATTTTTCCTCATCAATATAAGTTTATTTCATTATTTTGTTGATAAATAAAAATAGTTCTTTTGGACAAAAGTTTATAGCCTCTGTTTAAGTCTTGGGGTGGCTTATTCTACTTCTGTCGTTTGGCTGAAACGATAAGTGACTTAAGACAAACAATGTCGGAGTCATCAGTTGTTGTTGAATACTTCAAACGAAGACGAAAAATCTACGATGTTGTTTATGTGAGTTTCTTCGAAAGTTCTCTAAACCTTATTTGCTAGGGGGTTTTGGAGACAAACAAAGAACTAATAAAACGCTAAGCTAATTGAAATATTATTTAGACATAGGCTAAATTGATTTATAAACCAAGTCAACCAAACCAAAATGGATTTAGCTATATAATTGGGTTACGCCAAGACCGTACATCATCAACAAATGTAACTCTCTGTCTCTCTTAAAACTGGATTACTAAAAAACGGGAGACAAGAAGATAATTAAAGACAAGCTTGACCTCTTCTTAATTAATCACCAAAAAAAAACATTGCTTTCTCCATTGACCACACAAATGCAAACGAATCCTTGTTGATTGATTTTAGATTAGTAGTTAAAATACCAAAATGAAAAGTTGTGTCTTTCTTTGATCTTTTCTTTTAATCCCATCCAAAAACTGGAACCCCCTCTTAAGATCTCTATTTTGTTTTCTTTTTTCAAATCGACACAGAAAGAATTGATCTTTTGAGAGGGTGCCAGTTTCTTTTTTTTTGTTCATTCATCTTCTCCAATCTTGTTTTTGCAATTTTTTCCCGGGAAAGTTTTCATTTTTATTATTTTTTTGGGGGAGGGATTGAAAAAAAGATTTGAGAAAAATGTGGGGAGCCTTCGCAGAACCAGCAGATTCTTATTACCAGATTCGTCCTGAGTGCACTGATGTCCCCAATACCAAATTCAAGATCAAAGTATGTTCCTTTTTTTTTTTCTGTAGATTTTGTTCAGCATTGGATTCGTTTCTGTTTATCTATGAGCTTTGGCGTTTGTGTTTCCCTTTGACTATTGTTGTTTCATTCTCTTCTCCTGTGGTTCGCATACAAATGAACTTTTCCAGCTAAACCGTAGCATTGGGTTTATTATGGAATGGGTTGATTTCTCTTTTGACTTTGAACTTTTAACACTGTTCGAATCATCATTGGGGATGAGAGCATTTTTATTTAGGCTTGGGGAAGCTAATGACTTGTTTATGCCTTCTGATGCTGATAATATGATTAGGGATTATTGATCTCATTGCTCTTTTTTGGATATGATATTCTCATGGGTTGTGTTTAGAGAAATGCAGATTCCTCCTTGGAATTTGGAGTTTTTGTTTGCCATTGTTGTTCATTGTTTTGATGTGATCCATCAAACAAGAGAAGAGATTATGGTTTAATGGGTTGGATACATTAATAGTGCTATGACTTGCTTAGAGTTCATGTTTATGTTTTCTGATACTGATTGTTTAAGTTTCACATGTCTAGTACTGATCTTGCTTAGATTTTAGAGAATGGCAGAGTCACGTTTTGCTGACATTACCTGTCTTTTTATTCTTGATTATGTTTTTGTGCAGCCTGGTAAAACTCTGAGTGTAAGAAAATGGCAAGCTGCATTTACAACAGAAGGGTTCCTTGATATGGGCAAAACTCTTAATAGAATCCAACGAGGGGTAAGTCTCAAAAACAATGTTTGCAAAGACTCCAACATTATCCAAATCCTTTTGCTTCATTTCATTCAAATTAAGAGTACATGGTACTGGATTGTGTTTATCTTACCATTCCAATCCGTTTGCTTGCTTTCTTGACTGGTCTAGGGGATCCATCCATCGATTAGAGGAGAAGTCTGGGAATTCTTACTTGGTTGTTATGATCCAAAGAGCACATTTGAAGAAAGAGAGCAAATCCGACAACGTAGAAGGTGAGTTATCCACCAGAACAACAGTAAATTAGTTTTGTCAAGATCCTATTCTGTCTTGCATTCTCTTGGCTGCTATATCTTCTTATTGAAAGTATCGGTATTTCCTTTCAGATTGCAGTATGCTTCTTGGAAGGAGGAATGTAAACAAATGTTTCCCGTTATCGGAAGTGGTGGATTCATTACCGCACCTGTAATTACCAGCAAGGGTGAACCCATTTACGATCCTCTTGTACTACAAGAAACAAACTTAGGTTGGTATCTTTTGCTTCACGAAACAGTAGATTCATCTGTTTTTACTAGAACTTTAAGGATCTTAATCTGAAGTATTATCTCAGGTGCGAATGGATCAGATTTCTTCAAAGAGCTTGCAAGCCGCGGACCTTTGGACCAGAAAGTGATCCAATGGCTGCTAACACTTCACCAGATAGGTCTGTGATCACATGGCTTTGGTCACAAAAGAGAGTAGTTCTGAAGAGATGGTTTAGTATGTCTCAATTCACTTGCGTAAACTCTTCTTTTCAGGTCTTGATGTGAATCGCACAGATAGGACTTTGGTATTCTATGAGAAAAAGGAGAACTTGTCTAAGCTCTGGGATATTCTAGCTCTTTACGCCTGGATAGATAATGACGTTGGTTATTGCCAAGGTAAGCAGCTAAATACAGAGGAAGAACATGGTGTATCCTTTGTTCAAGCCCTGAAAAGTCTATTGATTTTTGGGTTTTTAATCTATTTACTGTTTCTTCTGATCAGGTATGAGTGATCTTTGTTCACCTATGATTATGCTTCTTGAAGATGAAGCTGATGCTTTTTGGTGTTTCGAACGATTGATGCGCCGATTGGTACTTTACTTCTATGATTTTGTGTTCATCTATGTTAATCTTTACTCTCTAGTCAGATAATGTTAAAAGGTCTTTTCTTTTCTTTTTTGAAATTGAAAGAGAGGAAACTTTCGGGACACAGGGAGATCAGTTGGAGTCGAAGCACAACTTACTCATTTGGCTTCAATCACTCAGATTATTGACCCTAAACTTCATCATCACTTAGGTATCTATTAAGCTTTCTCACCTCGCTTTTAGTGTAGAATCTACCATTACTCTTTGAGCAATAGAGATCTTGAAATAAATTATGAATCTTGAAAAATGCAGAGAATTTGGGTGGTGGTGACTATCTCTTTGCGATTCGAATGATCATGGTTCAGTTTCGAAGAGAATTCTCTTTTTGCGACTCCTTGTACCTTTGGGAGGTAACGTTCTCTATGTCTCTTTATAAACTCAGAAACATTGTTCTTTGACTGCACATTAATAAAGACGGATACATCTATTGCGGGGATTTTTTCATTGAGCAGATGATGTGGGCATTAGAGTATGACCCAGAGATGTATTCTCTATATGAAGAGCCTCAGTTCGAGGGAGAGAGAACTGAAGGTTCCTCCAAAGGTAAACCGAAGTCGATAAACCAATGTGGGAAGTACGAGAGAGAGAACATGAAGAATGGAGGGAAAAGCGCGGAAGGTCCTTTGCCTATTTCGGTTTTCTTAGTGGCTAGTGTTTTGAAAGACAAGAGTTCTAAGCTAATGACGGAAGCTCGAGGACTCGATGACGTTGTAAAGGTAATGCAGCAGAGAGATCTCACTGGTTGGTTTTATCTCTTTTACACCTTCCATTTCCCAATGAACAAACTCCTCATCAGTCTTTGTGTTTTGCACAGATCTTAAACGACATAACTGGAAACTTAGATGCTAAAAAAGCCTGTACTGGTGCAATGAAACTTCACAAGAAATATCTGAAAAAGGTTTGCTTTCCTACTGAGAAACTCTTGAGTGTTTGTGTACGTCTGATCCTTTCCTCGTCTGTCTTCGAAGTCTCTCTGATTGTTTCTGTTTTTATTATAGCAGGCTAAGAAATAGCACCGGAGAAGATTCGAGAGTAGTAGCGTTTTTGTATGTTGTTGTTAATACAATATTCGTTAACTCACAAAATCCGGCGACAAAAAGTGACTGGCCCAGAGATTTAACGATTCCTTGGATGACAAGCAGCTTTCTGAAGAAAAGAAGAAACCATTGGAGCCCCAACTTACACGGCAACTTCTCGTTGTAAAACTGTTCATACAAATTCATGTTGTAATCTTTGTTTCCACACACAAAAAAGAACTATCATCGATTCCTTTCTAAGTCATTGTTGTAAGCCGGATCATATATGTAAATAAGGATGGAGTATTTGAATTCCAGGTCAGACATGAGTATACTGTATATGTTCATAAAAGAAATGTAAAACTTTTGTTTTTTTGCTATGTTACAGTTTTCCTCTGTTCTCTGAATCTAAGATTATAAAACTCTTTATTGATTCATCAGCAGAGAGACTGGATACATAGGAGTATTGGACAGCTCTATCTATGCATAATTTCCTTACTCCTTAAAAGATGGATCATATGGCCTGCCATGAGAGAACCATTCTAATAATCTAAAGATTAAACCTAAACATTCAGATATATTTTGACGAGCTCTAGCTACAAAACTGAACATGCCAACGACAACTAAAAAGCTGCTTGTATAACCACAGCCATAAAGAAGGAGAAGATCGAGAACATAAAGCAGTAGGAATGAACGGAGAAGATATTTTACATAGAAGAAACATATCTCATTGAGAAGAGAAGACAAAGACAGCAGAAAGTTCAAGACATAAATAGTCACTTAAACACCTAAACTCCTTTATTTCACTCCTTCAACATACGAAGGGTCAAGGGAAATTTTTCTGAAGCTAAAAACATTTTTGTCTTACGCATCTACGGTTTCAGCTGAATCGGCTGCGGCTAAGACAAGCTCTGGGCTTAGGTTTCCGACGTTAGTTCCATCAATAGCATTGGGCAGTCCCAAAGCCTTAAGAGCAAGCTGTCCGGCCTTTTGTCCCGATATCATCATAGCACCAAAGGTTGGTCCCTATACATCACACAACAAATTTACTCAGGACATGACATGATCGAATCAAAGATTTGTCAAGAACATGGAAAAAAAAGAGAAACTCACCATTCTTGGGGCACCATCGATCTCAGCAACTTCCATACCGGTCACAATCATACCAGGAACAACCTCTCTGGTCAATCTCACAATAGCGTCTTCAGCAGTGTTCATGTCCAAAGCCTTCATCCCAGGAACATGATCGATCATGCCAATGCTCTTCAACCTCTTGACACCAGTGGCTCCAAAAGGACCATCATGTCCACAAGAGCTCACCACAATCTTGGCCTCCATGACGTTAGGGTCCATGCACGACTGTGAGTCGTGGTTCTGAGCCACAAGAGCCCAGTTAGTCACCACACCACCAACTCTGTTTCCTTTGACGATCAGATCCTCAGCAGCCACGGCGTTAAAGAGCTTCACGTTAGGACGAGCCAAAAGCTTGCTCATGATTGTAGATGTGAACAGAGCAGCGTGCTTAACCACAACGTAGTTGTCTTGCTCATCGTAAGCAACACCAATCTCGTCAAGGAACAAGTGAGCTGGTTTGCGAACAATCTGCCATACAAACACAACAATCAAATCCCAGAAGAATAAAACTCTAAACTGAGTGATTCAATCTAAACCTAAATCGCCATTAAATCAGAATCATAACTCTCCGGATGATAAATGATCGAACTAATCTGACATGCAAATCAATAAAAAAATCAAATCTCACCATGGCGGAGAAAAGCTGACCACCGAGCCAAGCACCACCACCAGGACTAACGGATTGCTCGATAATAGCAACCTGAACATTAGGGTTCTTACTGATCTCATAAGCACAAGACAAACCAGCAGATCCAGCACCAACGACGACGACGTCAGTCTCAGCGAAAGTAATCATATCAGTCATGTACCTCCTGGTCATCTCGCGAGACACGATCGATTCCTTGATTGGATCGAAAGTGAAAGCGTTCAAATCGTAACCGGCGGTGGCGCGAACGGAGACAGAGACGGATCGTGATTTAAGGCCGATGGAGATAGGAGCGGCGGAGATGGATGAGCCATGGAAAGAGGAATCGAAAAGCCTCTGTGGTTTGGTTGAAGAGAGAGAGAGAGTTGAAGCCATGGCCGCCATGTTTTTTATGGTTTTAGAGTGCAGTGATGATGATGATGATGGTGGAAGTGAACAAGTGTGGTTGTTGAGTATTTAAATTAGGAGAAGTAGAAAATATCTGGAGACTGATGGCCACGTCAGAGATAAGGAACGAAGGGTCAGAGAATTTTTGTTTTTTATTTTATTTTGATTATTTTAATTTTATTTTTTTTGCCATCAATGGAAAGTAGAGTACTGGTCTCTCCTCTCTTCAGTCTTCACGGTTTTGATCAAGTGAAATGACTTTTCTTGAACCAACACGTATTTAGCAAGTAATTAAGCATTTTATTAATCACTATATAATCAAAATTATTTGGTATATTTATTCAATTTCGAATTTTCAATCTTTCATTTCATCATTTTTTCACTAAAATGTATTTTTTTTATTGGAAATAGGATTATTGACAATTCCAAAGAAGGGATTTGACTGAATATATGGGAGTTTACCATATTTCTTTGCAATGAATAATATAATATGGAAGGCTGCCAAAAAAATAAAAGATACATACATATATGTGAAGTTTAAGAAACCAGAGATTTGATTTCATAAAAATAGTAAGATTCAAAATTATTCAGGTCATGGACTCATGGATGGTATAAAAAATATCTCGAAGGTTTTTATTATTTGTGTCTGGAAACATCTGTAGCTAGTTGCAGTGCCTGTGTGACCATTTGCAGTGAGTGTGTGGTGACACGAATTCACAACAAGGTGAAATATCTTTGTACGATGGAGACGGTTTTGGATCTTACTCGTGAAATAGACAGTTCATTTATCAAATTATTTGTTTGTTTATGAATCATGAGAGGAGATACATCAACCTTTTTCATCAATTCAACTTTTTTTTTTATGTGGTCCGAAACCAAATCTTGAATGTAGTACTTGGAAAGAATCGACCGTATTCGATTCCTTATAATTTCAGGTTGGTAGTAGTACTTTTTAATCATTTTATAAAACCAATAAATATTGAGAGTTAGAACTTATCTCAACAATCTGATATATTACATAGGTATGAGTTGGAACAGAGTTAACACAGAAACAGGGGAATAAGAAGATGAAGAAGTACGGATATAAGCCATTTTAAATTCGAATACCAAACAGAGGAACACTAGGAAGAAGACGATTCTACTCGACTCAAACCCGGGAATTTGCAACAAGAAATGAAAGGAGAGATTGATATGGTTTTATTATTAAGAGTATGATCCACTAGATAACTTAGAAACCATGGATCTTTATGTTATCCTTCTTCACCAGACCAGCCTGTGATTACAGAGAAACAGTGACATTAGACAATCATCTTACACGGTTTGTATGTTTTTTAGCAGTAAACAAACTCACAGGGTTCTTGTTTTTTTTACCTGGACAAGGAATGTGGACACGTTCTTACGCTGGTCACCTTGAAGTTGTATAACCTACAGATCAAAACAAAAACAAAAACGTAAGAAAAATTACAACAGAGAAGCTCAAATGTTTAGAACAGAGGTCAAAGCATTCTGATTCGTTCAAGCAAAGCAAATATAGAGGTAAAGCAGGCTTTTAAAAGCTGAAAATATAATACTTATCTGCAACTGTTTGCATCAAAATACTAACGACATATATATTATTATATCATTGACTTTTTACCGCATGGATCAATAAATCTTGTTGTATTAACCAACCTGTCCAAGTTCGGAATCCTGAACCACAGTGCCGTTGCAGCAAAACTCTTTCTTGAGGTCCTTAAGTATCTTGGTATAGCTGTACTCTTTCTTCAGGCCCTGGACAGTTGTCAAGCTTTTCCTACCATTTCGCTGCTGGACACGGATGTGAACGTACTCTTTTGTACCGGCACTTGAGTCCTCAACATTCGCATCAGCAAACGGATCTGAGACAAGCAACAGAACATGGAGACAGACAACCATTAGATTCCCATGTGAGATTAATCACCACAAACAGCATAATCAAACATATAACAATGCTTCAAATAACATGTTAAATGATATAAACAATCCTTCATGCAAAAAAAACAGGGTGCTAGATACAGTTTGTAATCAAGATCTGAAATAATTCTGTATGGACAAATAAATATGTTGAAGAAGATCAATGACTACAAAAATCTCAAGTTTTGGTACAGTAGAAACATACCAAAGGCAGTAGGAACCTGGGAGTCAAGTTCAGACATGAAACTTAGTTGATTTGAGGGTGAAATTAACCGAGAAGCTGAGATCTGTACAAAAAGGTTATACCTTTAGTCTAAAGGCTTTAGATTAGAATTGGGGAGATTCAGCGAAACATATATGATAGAAAGTAAAAACATCAAATAATTCATTCAGAAGGGCAGAAACACATGATACAACATGAAAACATCCAATCCCAATCAATTCATTCACGAAGATAGTTTTGAAAAATGAGTTAAGAAACTGACTAAATCACAAAACAACATCATTCTCGTACATAGAGGCACGTACTACAGATTCAAGAATCCTCGAAAAAGGCCACAAACAATTCAAACGATCATCAAGAAGATCTCTTCCACAGACCAAATCATACGTCTCCAATTTAGTCAATGTTAATATGTGTAATCGAGATCTCTACATGTTAGTAAAGCTGATCTAGTTCAATCACAATCATCGGTGTTGAATCATTATTACCAGAAACAAAACGAAACAAACAAAAAACTCAGAGCAAGATCATATCTACTGGAATCATTTACAAACACAAAGGATCTAAAAACAAAATTCTCAATCAATCTCAATCGATGCAACGATGTACCCAAAATTGAACGACGAGCTCAATTTCAATCACAGATCGACAAAATAGAAAACGAAGCGAGGGTGAATCGGTAAATCGATGAGAGGATGAAAGATGAACAAGAAGAAGAGACAAAGGGAGAAAATTTTACCTGATTCGTGAAATTGGGGTTTCGAAGATCTGAGTTTGATAGAAGATAAAAAGAAAACCCTAAATTTGGATAAAGTCTGCAACTTGTATTTGTGCTTACGCTCGACGGTGAGAAAAATTAAAAAACAAAAATATAAAAAAAGACAAAGATATCGTATTTAATAAGCGATCATATCCACGTAGGATTCAGTACCAATCAGACGATGACAACTCACTGCTAATTTTTCATTTCATTTTGCCTATTTTAGAGAAGGAGAATATTGCAATTAATTATAAATCGAATTGATCTATACAGATTTGATTTTTTTTTGTGACATTGATAAGAACACTAGGATTAAATGGTTTGTACCCAAAACATCACACGGTATTTAGTTTCATAGCTTACAGCTTGCGTAAAAATATAAAGCTACGAATGCAGCAAAAGGGAGAGACTACAAACAGTAATTAATGTTTCTTTTTGAGGAAGAGGGGGAAGATAAAGAGAGAGTGATGTTTATTCGTCATCCTTGTAAGGATACTCCTCTGCGACTTGTTTCAGTAGCTTCACCTGCAACTCATAAGCATCATCCCCTCGAAGAACATCACGCGTCCATGTCACTTCCGTCTTCATCGAGACCTTATCATTGTGCAGACAACAAGAAAAAGAACATAAACACTCAGCACAAACAAGTTCTGCACTTAATAATAGAGGAGTAAGAGAAGCTTGAATACGCCTTCTATGGAACCAAAGAAGTGGGAATAAATAGGAGACTGACCATTTCCAAAGCTCCTCTGATGACTCCACTTAAGACATTGCAGTAGTAAAGACCTTGGCAAGTATCGGGAAGCTCCACGAAATCAACGAGCGGGTTGTCCTCCAAGATTATACTACAGCAAGTCCCATCCGCGTCCCAGCTTGACACTGATGCTGTGACCCCTAAGAACATCTTGAAACCCACCTGTGTTATAAGGCAAAACCTGTTACTGCTTCTCAATATCAAAAAACCAAAAGGAGATATCTACCAGACATTAAACACTATGCTCTAGTTTAAGGTTTATCTGTACACTGTAGTGTCCAGTGGAATGGCCATTCATATAACTTGCAATGTAATTTCACGTTATTTGACGCACAGAGACACTTCAAAACTGCAAAATCGTGATACTAAACAAGCAAGTCAGTGTAAAATGGCATACCTTGGCAATCATTTCAGCAGTTTCCTTAAAGTCAACGCATCTGGAAACACCAGATTTGGCTAGAAACTCATCGATAAGTCGGATTCCAATGTTGTATCCCCTGCAGAATAATCAGAAAGCTAGTGATAAAGTTGTAAATAATTGAACACTCACCAGTATGAACCAGAGAGTCAAATTCCCATCCATGGCATATAATTAGAAAGATATATCAGCAAAGGAAGTAGAGACATTATGCAGCAAAACTTCAAACACAAGAATGAAAAATACAAACTTTCAAGGGACATAAGAGTCTTATGATAAGACCAAAACCAAAGCCAGTCTACAGAAAGCGTAGAAGAAGAATTACATCTGATCAAGCTGTTTGTTAACTTCCTCGACTTCTTCAAGGTCAGTAAGTAATTGACGCACAATTGCACCATACGTCAACGTGAACAGCTCAGCATTCTACAAATTTATCAGATTCCAAGAGAGATCAAACATTGTCTCCATAACAAAATTGAATAAGAGATTCGGAATTGGCTACAATGTTTACTTCTCAAATCTTTACAAATTACAACAAAACATCGGACAGCAATGAAGCATACAGAGAAAGAGGGTTATTATCCTATGAAATCAGCAATGAAGCATATCAAATACCAAATTCTATAATCAGAGGCAAAGAGAAAATCAAGAGGAACAGAGAAGAAAGGATAAAGCTTTGAACTCTAAACTTACCACACGATCAATGCTAGAGAAGATCGCATCACCGGATCGAGGACCAACCGGAGCCATCTCCCAATTTCCCGAAATGGACAACTATTTTTCTACATAGATCCATACCAAAAAAATTACACTTCATCAGAACACTACACAGATTCAACAAGATCAAATCAGAGATAAGCTACCGAAACAGATCAATTAACGATCTAAGAAACACCAAATTAGAAATGGGGTGAGAGAAAAATCCAATCTTACCAATTAAGAAGTAAAACCCAGAAAGCTAAAGAGAAGTTTTTGGCGATGGCAGAGAGAAAGAGAAAGAGAAAGAGAAAGAGAGTGTAGCTTGATCGCAAAAATTTATTTAGAACCTATTGTGTTTAGATATATGGGCCCAAGCCCATTGGACTTTTTCAGACTCAAAAACAAAAACTAAAAAAGAGTCGAACACATGGACGTAGCATGACAGAATCAATAGTGCAAGTTTGATCGTTTCATTCTAATTTCCATTAATGAATATTCAATATATATTTTGAGAAGTTTAAATCTTTAGGAAAAAGGAAGTAGTGTAAACTCATGGACTATTATGATGATCAAGTAAATTATATTACATATATTGTATCTCGTTAATACATGTAATTAACATATACCTAACATGTTGTTCCGGTATGTTGATTTTGTGGCAAGGTTGTGCAACTCCACGAGCACTTCGGTTCCTCGACTTTCATATTCTTCTACCCTTCTTCCTCGATGTAGTTCGTCTCTTCATGCTTCTCTGATATCTCGGTATTGTACTTCTGTATGCGCGAGTCCTTCTGCTATCGATGTGGCTCTAGACTCGGTGGTGAAGATCTTCTCCTTTTCTAGAAAGCCAGAGGTTGTTCGACCATGGCAAACAACTGAGATGGAACACTTAAGCTCTGGTACTCATAAACATCTCTTTAACTCGCTTGTGTGTTTTCATGTATTCAATTTCCACAATTCACATGATTTAATTAGACTTAGTTTGGAATATTTATTCTAGGATTTGTCATCTCGGGGAGGAGGATACTAACAGACAATATTGGTGCGCCTGGTGATCTCTCTTACGTGCAAGTGAGAAAGCATGGTTCACCGACTAAGTACAAAGCAAAAGTTGAAGCGTTTGGGTATGGATGTGACTTAGCTATCTTGGTTATTGATAGTGAAGAGTTTTGGAAAGATATGAATCCTTTGGAGCTTGGAGACATACCTTTTATCGGGGATACTGTATACGCTTTAGGTTATCCTCGTGGTACGTCGAAACTAGTTACTCTCTTGCTACGTCTTGAACAATTATAATTTTCGTATTGAGTATTCAAGTTAATTATGTTATATGCAAATATGCAGGTGGTGATACTATTTCAGTTACGAAAGGTATTGTATCGAGAGTTGAACCGAAAAAGGATTCTCACAGCTCCATTGAACCATTAACGATACAAATAGGTGCGGCAATTAACAACGGAAATGGTGGTGGTCCGGTGATCATGGGGAACAAAGTTGCTGGTGTAGCATCTGTAAAGAGTTCATTTAGCGGAAAGTGAGTTAAAGAATGCTTTATATAAATCTCAAGTATCTTTTCGAAAAATAAAACTAATTTAAGATAATTATGTGGTTTTGTGTGTGCTATGCAGCTATATAATTTCAACTCCAATAGTTAAGCATTTTTTAACATGTGTTGAAGAAACCGGTCAATACCTTGGTTTATGTTCTCTGGCTATATCATATCAGTCTATGGAGAATTGTTACATACGTAAACACTTCAAAATGAGTCTTGAGATTACAGGGGTTCTTATAAACGAAATATATCCGCTCTCAAGTGCTCAAGGAATTCTGAGAAAAGATGATGTCATTCTAGCAATTGATGGTGTTCCTATTGGAAATGATGAGACAAGTAATATATTATCATATACTTACTCTATTGATGAATTATCTACATGTGTGTTGGTGGTGATGTGAGTTTATGTTTGTTGCATGCAGTTCTGTTTCGGAAAAAAGAAAGGATCAATTTCGAACATTTGGTTACTTTGAAGAAATCAGGTGAAACTGTCTTACTAAAAGTGTTAAGAAAGGGTAAAGAACACGAGTTCAATATCATTGTTAGACATGTAAGTCTATCTACGTTATTTGTACCTTATATAGAGAGCTTTGTGACTACTTTTATCAGATTCATTAAATCATTTGGTCCTGTACATTCTTGGCGTATAATCATATATATTGGTTCTATAAACGATTGTTACGGTTATATATTGTACGCATATGCAGGAGCAGCAACTGGTTCCGGACCGATATCTTCCAAGTTATTACATACTTGCCGGTTTTGTCTTCGTACCTCTCTCTAAGCCATACGCAAACAGTTCTAACATATGTAACTGTTCATTAGACAGAAAGGCAAAAAAGGCTGGTGAACAGATTGTCATGATTTCACAGGTTTGTGTTTTTTGATATACCCAAATTATTTTTCTTCTTAGTAAGTAACGTTCTTGAGTTGTTAATTAGAAAGGCATGGTCTTACTTTGTATTCTATTTCTTTAGCCATGCAACCCTGCCTAGTGATTTGAGTTTCAAAATATAGATAGATAGCAATGTATTAGTTAGTTTGGCATCAAGATTTGAAGAGTTTTTTTTTTTTTTTTTTTTTTTGTGGTGTAGGTCTTATTGAATGACATAACCACAGGATACCGTGATTACACAGATTTCATTAGACGACTCAGCTTAGCTCTCTAATACAAATATAAAAAGGGAATCACATATATATAGTTTCATGTTCATCATGTGCATGTGTATGTGTGTCTTGAGAAACATAACTATATACAGTTTTACTAAATCCTACGTACAGGTGAAGAAAGTGAACGGAGTGGAAGTGTTGAATCTGAGACACCTAAGTGATCTCATAGAGAAATGTAGTGAAGAAGATTTGAGGCTGGACTTAGAAAAAGAACGAGTTATTACGGTGAACTATAAATCTGCGAAAGAAGCAACTCCGTGGATCTTGGAACATCACGGAATACCATCGGCCATGTCCAAGGACCTTAAGGAAGACGCCTCCAGGCAATTATTATGTTTCTCTTCAGCAGCTTGACTAACCAATACTTATTTATATCTTAGAAAAAAAAGCTCTTCAAATCTTGATGCATGCCAAAATATATTACATACATATATGAAAATTATCTACAATGTAGTTTGTGATGTTTGTTACTTTCATTTGTCTCTTAAAACATTATTTTTTAAACGAAGTCATCATCTCCACGGACGAAGGGAAGGAAACATGAGAAATACATTCATTTATATGCAATTCTCAACTGTTTATTTCGCAATTGGTAAAAGAGCAATTAAAAAGAGTAGAAGAACATGAAAAAAGAACTGAAGAAACAATCTAATTATTATCTCCTTCTTTCCTTTTGCGAGATTGGTTGAGTTGCACTAAACTCGGAAAATAAGAAGAAGAGCAAACAAGTGGAGGACGATAAATTTGTTTAGTGTATCCCAACATGGGGCAAGTTTCCTCGATATAGGGAGCTTCTCCGAGATTCACAGATTTAAAGTATCCACCTTCTCCAATGATAAAAGATTTGTGGTGCCGAATGGTCTTGGTTCGTAGATATAAGTCACAATCGAAAACAACAACGACCTTCTCTTCCTCGTCAACGAAGAAACTCTCAGCGTTAACACCAAACGAACCAGAGAGTTCAAATGGTCTCATTTCCACCCTCAAAAACTTGCTCCAGGAGAGAGTGTTGGGCTCAATCCTAGTCGTAACCCAAATATATAGTATAGGAGAACAATTATGTTTCATTCGTTGATATAGCACAGCGAGCTGCTCTTCTTTTACACATGAGAGGGCAACATACTCGCCGATCTTAGAGTGAAACGGAAGAGGCAGACGCGGTCCAAATCTCTCTTTTGTAAAATCAAAACAAAGTAAGAAATCTTTAAAATCCGATACCGCTACAGTTCCACAAGGCAATCTTCTTACTTTACTAGACAAATTAGGTGCTATTATTAATCCACTAGAGACAACGTAATGTCCTATCTTCTCTTGAGCAAAAAAGTAAGAATTCCCCTTCAAAGACACGCCGCGTTGATAATCCTATATATACCAGCTAGAAGTGACGTCGAGAACCCTCCATGAATTAGAGTTAAAGTCGTAAATTTCGTACCCGAAGAAGTCCTTCTTTTCAAAACCTTCACTATCCATAAACTTCAAGATTTTGTGGTTACGGTTGATATCGTATCCTAGAGCATACGTGTATAGTGTGTGGAATTCTGTTCTAGGTTCGATCCACCTTGTTTGACCCAAATAAGGGTTCCACACCATGAGCCTTGAGTTGTCTTTGGCTACGCACAAGACTAAGCCGTCGCAGTAAAATACTTTAGATATGTCGACTTGATTTAGTAAATCTACCTGCTTTATAGAGAGATCAAGAGAGTCTCCGTCTTCCTTGCAGTTGTTTTTGAATCTTAGTAAGCAAACCTTAGAATCCATCGTCATGAACCCCAAAAACTGCTCCCTAGCCGCTCCTTTACCTAAAACCCAATCTTTGGTCAAAGCTTTCCAATATCTGCAAGTGGATCTCACGGTTCTTATAGATGTTATGGGAATCTTCGTGAATATCATCCCTACTAATTCTGGTGGGAGATCGCACATCGTCGTCATGGTTCTCTCAAGTTTCAGTAAACGATGCAATAGATGATTTTATTAGTTAGGGTTTTGTTTCCTTTTATGTTTTGCGTTGTGTGCGTGACAAGTATGAAATAAATATCGTTAGTTTCCCTATTGAAAAAGGAAATTCTCTGTCATCTCTTTTTTCTATTATTAAATTTTACGAGAAGAGAAACCAAACATACAAAGCGGCCCCATGAAAGCCCAAAAACAAGTAAACAAAACGACTCATAAATCAATCACTCAAAACCCTCTAACACAAAATCCGTCGAAACCGTAGCCGCTCAAAATGTCGTTATGGTCTGTTCGTATTATTACCAGGTTCTTCAACTCCTCGACCACTCAGCAGGTTCCTCGATTCCTGTCTTCTCCTTTCCTTCATCGTCGTTCCAATTCTGTCCGGAACAATCCACAACCACCAACTACGGGAATTTCCGGTTTTCATGCTTCCATACCACGTTTTTGCCATTCCGTGTGCGTCAATTCACAAAGTGAGTCAACGCACACAGAAAAATCTGCTATAGATACGGCTCTTGACTCGGTTGTGAAGATCTTCTGCTTCTGTAGCGAGCCAGATGATGATAAACCTTGGACGAATTCTTACGAGGGGTTAGCCGAGGGCTCTGGTATTAGCCATAAACCATCTCTCTCTCGTTTTGGTTGTGTGGTTTTCTTAATAGTTTGACCTATATATGTTGAATTTGTTTAGGATTCGCAATTTTGGGAAGGAGGATTCTTACAAACGCTCACGTTGTGGAAGATCACTTGTACTTGCAAGTGAAAAGGCATGGTTCATCCACCAAGTACAGAGCAATAGTTGAAGCGGTCGGGGATGAATGTGACTTGGCCATCTTAGCTGTTGATAATGAAGAGTTTTGGGAGGATTTAAATCCTTTGGAGCTTGGAGATATACCCTCTATCGGGGAAACTGTTTTCGCTATAGGTTATCCTATTGGTACGTCTTGAACAAAGTGATTTTAAAATTTCGCATGAGTAAAAATCTGGTGGAGAGAAATTTGAATTATACATGTTTTATTGCTCATCTTGCACATGTTAAAGATTGGTCATGGTAGATGATATATACTCATGAAAGGACTAATAAGCTATGTTAAGTGTTAAAATGCATGCAGGTGGTGACACTATTTCTGTTACAGAAGGTATTGTATCGAGAGTTGAAGTTAGGGCTTACAGTCATAGCACCACCAAGCTGTTGACGATACAAGTAGATGCAGCTATTACGAATGGAAATAGTGGTGGTCCGGTCATTATGGGAAACAAAGTTGTTGGTGTAGCATTCCAAAGTCTTGTATGGAGTGAAAATACAGAGTGAGTATATATATTTGACTAACATTAAAACTAACTTGGTGTAGCATTCCAAGTTACTAAATGAAATATGGATTAACCTTTTTTTGGTTGTGGTTTTGTATGAAGGTACATAATACCCAACTCCAGTAGTTAAGCATTTTCTAAGTGTTGTTGAAGAAAAAGGTTACTACACTGGTTTTGATTTGCCGGATATATCCTGTCAAGCTATGGAGAATTCCCAAATACGTAAACACTTTAAAATGGAACATGCGATGTCAGGAATTCTAATAAACGAAATGAACATGGTCTCAGCTGCTCATACAATTCTTAAAAAAGACGATGTCATTCTTGCAATCGATGGTGTTCCTATTGGAAATGATGAGACAAGTATAATAGTTCTTAATTTTTTTTACTACATTCTCTTAGCTCACAAAGATATATAGTTATACTGATTTGATATGAATCTTCTCCAACTGTGTTGATATGGATTGAATTTTATATATGCTTCATGTGCAGTTCTTTTACGGGGGAAAGAACGTATACATTTCAATCATTTGGTTTCTATGAAGAAACAAGGTGAAAAAGGTGTATTTAAGGTCTTAAGAGATGGAAGAGAGCATGAGTTCAAAATCAGTTTAAACTCCGTAAGTCATCTACTTTCCTAGCTAGCTAAGTGTCATATTTTGCTAGAGATATATAGTTATTCTCATTGTCCCCTAGCTAGTTCTTGTTTACTTGGTTGCTTCACATTGGATTTGAATGGAGAATATATATATATATATGCAGATGCAACAACGGCTGGTTCCGGTGCGCGAATTTGATCCATTTTATCCAAAATGGTACATATTTGCGGGATTTATCTTTGCGTCTCTTTCTAAGAGAAACATTAAAAATTCTTCCACCAGATGTGACTGTGCATTAGAAAGGAGGCCAGAAAAATATTATGAAGAGACCATCATCATTTCTCAGGTTTGTGCTTCTTTAATTTGTACCCAATTCTGTTTTAAGAATAACTTCATGGAGATGTAACTTGAGGCTTGAGCTAACATGGTCCTTCTTTTGTGTCCTATTTCTTTGGCCATGAAACTCTTACCTAGTAATTAATTTGAGTTTCAACTTTTGAATATATGCATGAAAACAACTATTATCTTCTTAATTATATATTCTCGTATATATTCTTAATTATTTATTTAATTCTGTTTTCTATTTTTTTTTGGGTGTAGGTGTTATTGGATGATATCAACGTAGGATACTATAGTTTCAAAAACTTGCAGGTAAGTCAATTAATTTATTGCTCATGTTTCAAATAAAAAAGTTGTCCCAAAACAACGTAACATGCATGGTCATGCGTGACTTTGATCATCAGAGAGGTATTTGTGTCTGGAAAAGAGATATAATCTAGTACGTATTTATGGTATAAACAGGTCAAGAAGGTGAACGGAGAGGAAGTGCGGCATATGAATCAGCTACGTACGCTCATCAAAAAATGTCGCACAGAAGATTTGAGGTTGGACTTAGAAAAGGGAAAGGTTATAATCTTGAACTATAAATCTGCAAGGAAAGAAACTTTGTTGATCTTGGAACGTCATAGAATACCATCGTGCATGTCCTAGAGCCTTTATTCAAATACTTTTCTTGGGTATAGGTCATATTTAATTTGTGTCCTAAGATAAATTATTCCATAAATTTTTGATTGTATTATGATATAAGCTTATATATATATATTTGGGACGTGTACATGTAGCTTAATCAATCTCGTTGTTGTGCGTCCTAATATTTTCTCCTTCTATTCACTTCCGCGATCAAGCTGTACATGTCTCTGTAATGTATATACGGGTTTGTGTTGGAAATCACAATTTGTAGATACAACTACGTACCAACAAAAAAGAAAAGAACAAAGTTAGCATGCATGGTGTTGTAGTTGTGGAGACTTGTCTCGATCATTCACTGGACACATGTACACATTATTAAACTTTCGAACACCTAATCCAAACAAAACTCCATACGGGTTATATATGTCCCAACTTCCATGTGTTCAGACTTAACTTCATGCTTATTACACGTATTAACCATGCAAAAGTGATCTCCTTCATAAATAAATCCATCCCCACTTCCACTTCACTTCATCATATAAAAAAACCTCAAATCCTAGATTCATATAACCCATGGCTAAGCTTATTCACGTTTTCGCAACTCTTGCTCTCTTCATCCTCTTAGCCGCCACACATCCATTTACCGTGCAGTTGTGGAGAACTGGACGAAGAAGATGATGTTAGTAACCCACAACAAGGTAATTAGAGCATCTCCAACCATAGTTGTTTAACATGAAGTGTTTATCACTAAAATTATACAAATATTGTTATTTAATTTGATGGGTTGCTTAAATAGTCAAAAAAACATTTCAAAAGTTCCTTAAATCTCATGTTTAAGCACTTTTGAAGGTAGATTTTATACAATATAAGCAACTCACATAATTTTTTTTATATATTTTTTCTCTCTCTAAGATAAGCAACTTATGTTAACAACTCTTCAATGGAGATGGTCTTAAGTGTCAGAAGGAGTTTATGTCAGCAACAGTAACTAGGAACTCGCAAGCAATGGATCCACAATCAACTCAACAAGGAAGAATTGGATATGAAGCTGATGACTTTGATCAGCTCACTCTTGGTGTTAATCTTGAGGACAATGAGAACCCAATGCTTTAACATCATCAACCAGCTCTTAAAATGTGTTGCAATGAGCTAAGACAAGTGGACAAGATGTGCGTGTGTCCTACACTGAAAAGGCAGCTCAACAAGTTAGATTCCAAGATACGCATGGACCACAACAGGTGAAACCTGTGTTTCAGACTGCTCACGCCACAAATAAAGAGTGTTCTTGGGTACTCAAAATCTTTATCACTCTCTTAAAGTCTCATGTTTGTGCTCCAAGAAGTTTTAGAGAATTGTATTGTAAGCAAACATATGTATACTTGGATTAGGACAAGATCCACATGACTTGTACGTGAAAACAGAGGAAGTGACTTGCTAGCCAAGTTTTCATTTTAATTAAATCTTATCTTAATTATGGTCAAAACCCTCCATTAATCAACCGGAACCGAAGAAGAAGAAAGCTACTCTGGTGGACCTAAACATAAGCCTAAACTCTCTAACTCCAATACCATCATCATGGATTCATCATTCATGTATTGTCTTCCGGTCAGTTTTTTTTGAGTTAGTGATCGGTTTAACTAAACCAACCCAGTTTGAACCAAATTTAATTACTAAACCAAATTAATGGAAACTTCCTCATCTACGACTAGCGCACGTCACGTGAAAAAAAAAAAAGACTGACGCACGTCGTCGTACTAATTACGGTGGATTGAATTGGTTTAGAGTAGATAAATCTGAAAATAAGCTTTTTTTTTTGGCTAACTAATAAAAATAATTAAAGGAGATGATACGAGAATTAAAATCTATCAAACGTCAGTAAATATTATTTAGGTTTGTTTGGTTTAATAATTATTTGTATAAAAATATGTTATAGTATAAACCAACAAAACAAAAACCAGACATTCCCAATAATTAAAAAATTTAATTAAAACAGAGGAAAGAGACGTGGAAGATGAGTCTCTCTGTAGTAAATACAAAGACGATACGTAAAAGAGAGAACTTAATCCAAAATTTTAAAAGTATATAAATAAGCAACGAATGAAAAAAAAAATCATAAAAAAAAATCATAAATGAAGTTTTGAAAGAGAACAGCTTTCGTCTCTTAAGTAAGGTCTTCTTCTTCTTTGTTTGTTCGCTCTCTCTCTTTCGCTCTTATCCTCAAAATCTTTCCTCCTTTTCTTCCTCTTAAACGTTTTCTAAAGTCTTAATCAGATTACTGCTTCGAGACGACGTTTCTAATTCTTTTTTGTTTTTGTTGTTTTCTTCTAATTCTTTACAATTTTAACCTCTAAATTCCAGAAAACAAAAAACACGAAATTTGTTGCTTCATTGATTCTTTAGGTATATTATTACAATCATCTTCATTGATCGTTTGATTCTTTCTTCTGGGTTTTTGTAAAAATTCGATCTTTTTTGGTTCGTCGATTGTGTGTGTGTTTCTTGCTTCGTGTCAGCTTGAAGAAGAAGCAAAAAATTTCGAGTTTGCGTGTATTTTGTTTTTCTCCTTTTTCAAGATTCTAATTTCATTTCTAATCACAATTTGTTTCAATTTCGTTACTTTTTCTTGGAAATTTTTAAAAAATTTGCAATTTTTATCTCCTCCCCCGTTTTTCTCGGAGATTCATTTTTTTGTACTTTGGGAAAAATCTCAGGCGTAGATATAGAGAGAGGGAGGTAAAACAAAAATCGAAGCTTTGTTTTGATTTGGAGGCTAAAGATCAAGGCTTTTGATACTGAAGAGCTTCCAACATTATGGGGAAGAACGGCGACGGTTCATCTCCGAAGTCGCCGTCGACTTCGGACGGAGTAATGTCGCGATCAGCTCGGAGCTCGTTTCGTGCTTTGTCTAATTGCCTTAGGGTGATTTCTTCTGGTGCTTCTACGGTTGCTCGTTCCGCCGCATCTGCTGCTTCTTCCGCTGTCAAGAACGTTGATTCTAATTACGATCAGGTAAATTTGGAAACTTTCTTTATGTTTCTATCTAGGTGGCAAGAATCATTTTGGGATTTTGATACCTTAAAAGAGCGATCTTTAGGTTTGTTGTTGGAGTGTTTGATCAAGTCTTGGTTGGCGAATTTTGAATCTTGATATGGTTTTTTGATTGGGAAAGGTACTGTGGGCGGGGTTTGATAAGCTAGAGAAAGAGGATGGTGATGCTCGGAGAGTTCTTCTACTAGCATTTCAGTCTGGGTTTCAAGTTTGGGATGTTGAAGATACAGAGAATGTTCACGTTATAGTTTCTGCACATGATGGGCAAGCATTCTTTATGCAAATGCTACGGAATCCACTAAACCCGGAAGTGTTAGGTGACAAGTTCTATGAGAGCCGTCCGCTTTTGGCTGTGTGTGGTGACAGTTCTTGGGAAGAAAAGTCAAGTAAACAGATCAGTTCTGAGAACCCCGGAAGTGAAACCGTAGTTACTCCTACAGATGTCTATGTCTACTCGTTAAAGTCTCAGTCTTATGTGCATACCCTGAAATTCCGTTCTATAGTCTATTCGGTTAGGTGCAGTTCCCGGATTGTTGCTGTACTGCAAGCAGCTCAGGTTCGAATGTCATATTGCTGTCACTTTTGCTTTTGTGATTTGTCTGTTCTGAAACTAACAATGTGTAACTGAAAACATGTATTTGCAGATACATTGCTTTGATGCTACAACATTGGAAATGGATTACATGATTGTCACTAACTCCATTGTCTGTGGCTCCTTGGGTGTTGGATATGGCCCTCTTGCAGTTGGTCCTCGATGGATTGCATATAGTGCAAGTCGTATTGCTAACTCAGGTTCTGCCGTTTTCACTTCAGATCTTCTCTCGTTGTCCTCATCACCCAGTATTGCACAGCTTGCAAGAGAATCAAGTAAGCAGCTCGCCTCTGGGATAGTAAATCTTGGAGACAGAGGGATCAGGTCATTGTCTCGATACTGCTCAGAGGTTCTGCCCAATCCGTATATTCCTGGTTTGAAAAGCATTGGAGTTGCTAATGAAAATGTGCCAGATGCAGATAGTATTGGAATGGTATACTCAAAATCCTCCTCAAGTTGTTTTGATGTCAAGTTGATTTCAATTGGCTTGTTCTTTGAAAATATCTATGGTTTGTGCAGGTTATTATCAAAGATATCACAAACAAAAGCGTCATAGCACAGTTTAAGGCACACAAGAGTCCAATTTCAGCTTTGTGCTTTGATCCAAGCGGCATGCTTTTGGTGACTGCCTCGATTCAGGGGCACAATATTAACGTCTTTAGAATAATGCCAACAATATCTAAAAGTAGGCATGTAAACACAAAGACTTTTGCCCATCTGTTCAGGCTTCAGCGCGGTTTCACTAATGCGGTAAGCAGTTCACCTACAATTGTGGAAAATTCGGTCCTTTTGTTTAACCTTAATGTGTTCTTTTTTTCAGGTCATACAAGACATCAGTTTCAGCTATGATAGCAATTTGATAGTGGTCAGCTCTTCAAGAGGGACAAGTCATATGTTTGAGATTAATCCTGAGAAAGAAACCGATTCTCCGGTTCCTTTATCTGCAATCAATAGGATAAGAAGCAAATATAGCAGCGGATGGATTGGGACCATGAGTGGTGCAGCATCTGCAGCAGCTGGAATGGTTGGAGGCTCTGTTCCGGGTGCAATCACATCCTCTTTCTGCTACGGCGATGAAAAGAGTAACACTAACTACTATGGTTTTCCTACTGATTTTTGCTCCAAGACGAATCTTCTGGTTTTCGCCCCTTCTGGATGTCTGACAGAGTATGCATTACTGGAGAATTCGGCTGGTCATGAGAATGCGGTGATGACAGGATACGATTATGAGTCAGGTTTAGAGACTGAAGGAATATTAGCGGTAGATCCAATAAGAAGGTGGTCCATGATCCAAAACCAGTCCAGGAGAGAGACGCAAGATCACAACAGTGACATATATGGAGGTGGAACATCAGTGGATTCTAAAAGTAAAGTGTTTCCGGAGGTTGAAAGAAAACAGAGTGTTGAGGAAGCTTGGAAAGTAACTAAGAAAGGAACGACCCCTGTGCAGGACAAGCGTCATTTGTACATATTTGAAGCAGAGTTGCAAACATATCTGCCGGCTCAGCTACCCTTATGGGCAAGGCGAAATGTAAAGTTTCCTTCTTTTTTTTGAGAATGCTAATGTGTTGTTTGGATGATCTCTCATACTTTCGTATTTTGTACAAAACAGTTTAGGTTTCAAGAACTGGTATTGAATCGGGGTGAAGAGATTAGTGGTGAAGGAGGAGGGGAGATGGAGATTTTGGATATCCAAACTCGAACAATTGAAGCAAGAACAAGAGACTTGGTTCCAGTCTGGGGTTATCTCCAATCTCCAAGATCCCAACAAGTGATGAACGAGTGAGTTGTCCAAATCTGATTATGCTCAACACTTAAAAAAAGTTGTTTTCTTTGTCTCTGTCTCACTTTCTTGTCACTAATATTATGTTTGACACACAGATCAATGCAGAGTCCAAAGAGCACTACAGAAGGTGAAAAAGTGGCTCCTCTGGAGGGTCATGGAACAGAGACTAATGTCTGGGCTGTACATAGCGGAGAAGAGACACAAAGCGAGCCTGTAAATAAAGAAGAAGGTACTACTGCAGAGGAGAAGAATCACAGTGAAGATGATGAGGATGTGGTGGATTAGAAGAAGGTGAATTTGTTATTGGTTCTTTTTTTTTTTCAGGCAAACTCGGCTCCAACAACAGAAGAACAAAAAAAAAAATATTAACTCTGGAAAATTGTATAGAAAAAGGAAAATTGACATATCTTTTAGGTTGTAAATAGCTTTCTTACTTCTTTTTTTTCCCACAGAATATTATTAGCATATTGATTGATTCTTTAGGATGTAAAGATCAAAATAATAAAAATTTAGTATTTTCATCATTAATGAAGTTTGGAAAGAAGAAAACGATTTTTTTTCTTTCTCATCCAAGCCTAACCCGGTTTAAGTATGAAAATGCTTTCTTTTTACCTCTCATCTACAACATGCATTGTTATCAAGGCTGTTGATGTAAGACACAAACATCTTCTTTTACAAACTAAATGACTTTTCTCCATGTTTCCAATATGAGATTTTTCTATTTGATCTAATTTGAAAGAAAAAAAAAAAACAGTGACACTTGTCAATATAACTTTAGACCGATGAATATTCAGAAAAGTAAATTTCTAGTTTTTTGTGGAAAGGGAAACACCGTCTGTTTTAAATCTTAACATACCACAAACCTAAATAGGATAGAGTTTCTTTGATGATATTGAACCGGTTAACCAGAGATAATTGAACAACGCAATCTAGTTCCATTGAATTACTTTAAATTATTTAGCTGTTATTAAGGGAAGAACGAGTCTTTCTTACATTGTAGGATTATAGGCTTGTAGCTAGGAATGGTTGATACCATCTCCTTTTTGTATTGTCATATTGTGCTATTTGTCATAAATATTAGTTTAGGCTTGAGAGTGTTTTTGATAAGATTTACAACATGGTTTTAACTTTTTAAAACTAGTTGACCAAACAAAAAAAACCCCTAGTGGACCCTAAAGAGAATGAGATTATTAACACTAATTACAACCTTTGCCTCCAATTAAATTGTAAAGATGACTTTATACAACGTATGTCATATTGAATATGTAGTTAATGGAAATGATTTATATACGTAGGTTGTCAATAGTTTCGTGCATCATTAATAATACTAGTATCTATTAAAGAAATGATCATTATAAACCTTATTATACTTATCGACTTGTTCATTATATTGATTTAATGTTGGTTTAAATTTATTGAGCAACTAAATTATACTGTATTGTTTAACAGAAAGAAGTCAAAAAGGGAAACATATATCAGCAAAACATATTGTTGCAGAAAAAGAAACAATGTTTTCTAAGTGTAATATATCACATAGGAAATCACATAAGTGAAAACCCTAAAATAAAGAAGAAAAAAATATGGGATTATGGTTTTCAAAATTCTTTTATAGGAGTAATACACAAACTTTATTTTATATTGATTTTTTATTGTATAGCCACTATCCAGTAAAGAAAAAAATTAAAAATTGGTCTGCCCTGGTAGTAAATAAAATAACCCTTAAGAGAATGAATATAACAATTTTAATCTCAAATGGATCAAAGTTTTCTCAAGCCACTTGACGAAGAGAACATGGTTGACTTTAGTGAGTAGAGTACTTAAATAAAACCTTAAGAGAATGAAACTAACATAACAAAAAAGAATGTCTCTAGCTATTAGCTAGATATATCAAAGCTTCCACAAGCTGATAACAAGCCACTTGAAACTATATACAGTAAAACCTCTATAAATTAATACTCGATAAATTAATAATCTCTATAAATTAATAAATTTCTCCTGTCCCAAGTTGGGACCAGTGTAATTTTAGACATATTTCGATAAAATAATAAGATAATAATTTTTTGAAAATCCTTTGTAAATATATGGTCCCATCAATATTATAAATTAATAATTAGGTAAAATTTTCAAAATATATGTATATATAAACACATTAGTTTTTGTTAGATTTTATTTATAATATTTTATTATATGAAAAATAGTTAGCATTATCTTTTAATACATAATAATTATTATTTTATTTGTAATTGATTATATAAAATACTAATTATCATGATTAAATATTATTTATTAAATATTGTCTTGAAAATATTTTCCAAATTAGGAATATCTCTCTATAAATTAATAATTATTAATTTATCGATAAATTAATACCTCTATAAATTAATAGATTTTCATGATCCCAACATTATTAATTTATAGAGGTTTTACTGTATATTATGTACTTATAAAATATACTTTTTGAGGAAGAGATCGTGGTTTTGACTTTAAAGAGTAGTATATAAAGGAACCCTTTAGAGAATGAATATTAACAAACTTAAAACACCAAATACAAATTTATATCTGAAGTAGACTAAAGTTTTCTCAGTTCGTCGAAGAGAATTCGTTTATGATGACGGAAACAAACGAAGGAACAGTTTTGCACCTAGCCACACAGCTCTGCCCTTCCCTAGTCACTTCCACCAACTCCAAAGGTGACACTCCTCTTCCTTTTGCTGCTAGCTTGGGACACACGAGCACCTTAATTCAGACGTCCAAGAAATGCGAGAGAGAAACGCTAGATGATCCAATACCTGAAGAAATGATGAACAAGGATGGCTTGACACCTTTACATTGTGCGGCAATGATGGGTTCTATTGAAATCCTTAGTAGATATCACGATGAAATGCCCTATTGTTTCGAATCAGTCACACGAGGAAAGAAAGAAACTGTCTTTCATATAGCTGCGAAACACAAGAAGAACGAAGCCTTCATCTTCATGGCTCAGCGTGAAAAGTTGGGCCAACTTCTCTACCAGCTCGATGCAGATGGCAATAATGTGCTTCACGTTGCCGCCTCCGTAGGATCTATTGCCGTATGTTTTCTCTTTCTCTTTATTCTTTATTCTTTTTTTATTTTTCTGTTGTAAGACCAAACATAGACTATGTTATGATCAAATATAGCTCACATTGAGGTCTGTTTTGCTAATAGCCAGAAGCATGCATGTTGAAGATTTATTTAGTTAGATGTATATGTTATAGGATCGATCTATCCAAATTCTAACAACATCTCATGCAAATAATACTTTCAGTGTTTAGTCAATACAGATTCATGGGATGTTTTGCTTTTATATATTTATGAGTTTATATATATTTGACTAAATGCATTTAAAAGTAATGAGATCTGAAATGATGTACTCCAAATCTCTTAGTTATCAAAAATAAAAATGACGTGAAATTTTAAAATTTTCCGTTTCTGTTTTTTATTGTTTCCTTACTGATTAATATAATCCATTTGGACATATATATTCACAGCTGGTAAGTTACATAATGGACGAAACAAAAATAGAAGTCGCCACCAAAAACAACAAGGGTTTTGCAGCGATTGACCTTCTCAACAAAAATGACGAAGGTTTCCGACAGCTATCTATCGCTCTGATGTCTGATCGTTCAAGTCGTAGAGAAATGCGAATTCTTGAGATCCAAGTATTAGATGAACTGAAGAAGCTCGGGATGCTTAGTGCTCAAAGTAGACAGAGTTCTAACAAGGAGATGGAGATGCAACTGGAAGCTTTGCAAAACGCTAGGAACTCAATCACAATAGTTGCCGTCTTGATTGCATCGATCACTTTCACATCCGGTCTGAACCCGCCTGGTGGGGTGTATCAAGAAAATCCCTACATAGGGAAAGCAACCGCAGGAAGAACAATAGCTTTCATGATCTTCTCGTTAAGCAATAGCATTGCATTGTTTACATCAGTTAGTATGGTCATTCTTCTCCTCAGCATTATACCTTATAGAGAGGATTCACTTAAGAAGTTCTTGGTTATAGCACATTGGATGATGTGGGTCGCTGTAGTAGCCATGGCAAGCGCTTATGTGGCGGCAACAGCGGTCACTTTGCCACATTTTAGAGAAACAAAATGTTTGCTCTATGCCACTCTTGCTATCGCTGGCTTGACGCTAGGCGGTATGTTTGTTTATCTACGGTTTAAGCTGACTAAATGCATCTTAAGTAAGATGTATTATCTTAAATTCATATCACCCTCGCTAGTATCCAAGCATGGGTCCTTAGACATGGCAGCCAATTCCATGAAAGGCTATTATAGCTATTGAAATCATATTTAAAATATATGTCATCATAAGTGATTTATATTTAACGTCTTTCCTGTTATTTGTAATTATTTATTTATTTTTATGTTTTTTGAAAACAGTATTTATTTATAATAAGGTTACAATCGTAAGCATGTTTTTTTTATATATAATATTTTTAGAATTCTTCTCGAAGCTCATATGTTTTGTATGTTAGAAAATTAACATTGTAGTTTCACTATATGTTTATTTATATATTCATATAGTATAATATTTTCGAAATTAATAAAAGTTAACTTTAATCTTTTTTAACCTTGTGTTTATTTAGTATTCACTATTCAGACTTTGACCCAACGCAATATCAATATCAAGAAGAAGAGAAAAACTAATCGTTCGGGTATATGAAAAAAAAAATAAAAAAAAATCAAATCATGACCACCACAAGGTCGACAAGGAGATGAGGAAAGTTTTAAAGTTTCGTGAAATCTCATGAATTCGAAGCATCGTGAAACCAAACTTAACAGATGGGATGTACTAAATCATTTTTTGTTGTATTCATCATGAATCTTATATACAAGCATATACATTAACAAAAAATCTGAACATGGATACATTTTCGAGTTTTTTGTTTTGCAAGATATTAGATTATGGTATTCTATAGGCTATAGCTAGCCACGCATAGGCCCAAAAAGTTTCCATAGCAGAAACTAAAACATGCAAATATTACGAACGAAAGCCGAAAAAGTCTAACGTAACAAAACTACCAAGACTTCTTTCTTGTTTGGTTCATTGGGTGGGGGGGAGATAAAAACAACTTAAGAAAGAAAAGGGTGGAAATCGAAATTAGAGAAGAAATGAGTCCTCAAAAAGTAAATTCCGAGATTGAAGCTCGAATGTCTTTGTTCAAAGACTTTATTTAGATGTAAAGTTATGTCTTGTAACCACCAAACAGCTCCTTTTCATCTACACTCTAAATATTTTTAACACCTGGGGGTTGCATTTGCCTTTGACTTGTCTTTTGTTTTGTCTCTCCAACTTCTCTCCTTCACCATAAAGCCAAATCCTAAATCCACATCTTCTAACCGAACCGACTTATACCAATATATGTACCAAATAAAAACCCAAATTACATGGAATCGAAGAATTATACGTTGAAATACCACGAAATTTCTAGGTTTAGTGATCATAAAAAGTGTGGCATTCAATTAATTTCAAGAGTTACCTGATTTGAACACATAACCGAGTGGTTATACCGAGTAAACCAGAAAGAACCTGAGTTTTAACTCCGATGTATATAACACAAGTACCAAACGTGCTAACAAGAATCGGATACAGAAACAACAAATTGTAGCCGTGAAATTATATTTGATGCCACCAGCTTTGGGAAATCAAACCGAAAACCGAGTAGCAAAACCGGGGAAAACCGTAACATAGAACCGTGGTGTTTCGATTTTTTAAAAAAACACACATGACACATATCCTTTTCCGTACATGAAAACATCAGAGTTAAGTGTTTTTTGTATCCCAAACCAAAAAAAATGAAAAAAAAATATATAACACCAGAGTTATGATCTGCCATTAATAACCTAAACACAAAGCAAGGTTAGGTAAATGACATAGACCCTTTTGAATTAACCCCCATACAATACATAACTACGTGAGATCCGGTTTCCTTCTTCGGACATTCATCTCCCTTCAAACCAAACACACACACATTCATAGAAAGAGAAAAAAACAGAGACATAAAACAGAGCAAAGAACAGAGAGAGAGAGAGAGAGAGAGAGAGAGAGAGAGAGAGAGAGAGAGAGAGAGAGAGAGAGAGAGAGAGAGAGATGCAGTTGCATATATCTCCGAGCTTAAGACATGTGACTGTGGTCACAGGTAAAGGATTGAGAGAGTTCATAAAAGTGAAGGTTGGTTCTAGAAGATTCTCTTATCAGATGATGTTTTATTCTCTGCTCTTCTTCACTTTTCTTCTCCGATTCGTCTTTGTTCTCTCCACCGTTGATTCTATCGACGGCGAGCCCTCTCCTTGTTCCTCTCTTGGTACGTTTCTTCCACTCCCCTCCCTTATTTCTAATATTTTTTTCTCCTTAATCCGGAAATTATGTACAAAAATAGTGATCATGTTAGAAAAATTAGCAGTATAGTTTTACTAAAATACATATTTTACTTTTCATGTATACTACATGCAGAGTTACGTCAAGCTGAGAAATAAATATATTATCCTTAATCTCATGTAAGAAAATAATATAAACGAAGAAAATGGAATAATTTCTAGAGATTTACGCTCAAAAGTGAATAATCCAAGAGCTGGTCGGTTTGTTTCAGGTTAATTTTGTAGTATTATGGTCAAGCTTAATAAGATTTTTAAAAGAAATTTTCAAAATGACCTAAAGAGATAGATTACTTAATCTCATGATCACACCTCAGTTAAATAATCGACAAATGTTTTATCTTTGTAATGAACAGCTTGCTTGGGGAAAAGACTAAAGCCAAAGCTTTTAGGACGAAGGGTTGATTCTGGTGTAAGTTATCTATCTTACTTCACTTTCAGATTCTGGAGCACATTTATATATTTACTACGGTGAAACAGAGTGCTGTTGTTTTTTTCCCAGAATGTTCCAGAAGGTATGTACCAAGTTTTAGAACAGCCTTTAAGTGAACAAGAACTCAAAGGAAGAACAGATATACCTCAAACACTTCAAGATTTCATGTCTGAAGTCAAAAGAAGCAAAGCTGACGCAAGAGAATTTGCTCAGAAGCTAAAAGAAATGGTGACATTGATGGAACAAAGAACAAGAACGGCTAAGATCCAAGAGTATTTGTATCGACACGTTGCATCAAGCAGCATACCCAAACAACTTCACTGTTTAGCTCTTAAACTAGCCAACGAGCATTCGATAAACGCAGCTGCGCGTCTCCAGCTTCCAGAAGCTGAGCTAGTCCCAACCTTAGTGGACAACAACTACTTTCACTTTGTCTTGGCTTCAGACAATATTCTTGCAGCTTCGGTTGTGGCTAAGTCTTTGGTTAAAAACGCTTTAAGACCTCATAAGATCGTTCTTCACATCATAACGGATAGGAAAACTTATTTCCCAATGCAAGCTTGGTTCTCATTGCATCCTCTGTCTCCTGCAATAATTGAGGTCAAGGCTTTGCATCATTTTGATTGGTTATCGAAAGGGAAAGTTCCGGTTTTGGAAGCTATGGAGAAGGATCAGAGAGTAAGGTCTCAGTTCAGAGGCGGATCATCGGTTATTGTGGCTAATAACAACGAGAATCCGGTTGTTGTCGCTGCTAAGTTACAGGCGCTTAGCCCTAAATACAACTCCTTGATGAATCACATCCGCATTCATCTACCAGAGGTAAGTATGATCTTTGACTGGTGAAGATTACTCAACAGCATATATTAGACTCGCAACCTAAAACTGACTTTGCTATTCTTTTGCAGTTGTTTCCGAGCCTAAACAAGGTTGTGTTTCTAGACGATGACATTGTCATCCAAACTGATCTTTCACCTCTTTGGGACATTGACATGAATGGGAAAGTAAATGGAGCAGTGGAGACATGTAGAGGAGAAGACAAATTTGTGATGTCAAAGAAGTTCAAGAGTTACCTCAATTTCTCAAACCCGACAATAGCCAAAAATTTCGATCCAGATGAATGTGCTTGGGCATACGGGATGAATGTTTTCGACCTAGCGGCTTGGAGGAGGACTAACATAAGCTCCACTTACTATCATTGGCTTGACGAGGTAAATCAAAATCATCAACTAACCTACAATCTGACTATCAACTTAAATCTGACTATTTGCATGTATATGTTGCAGAACTTAAAATCAGACCTGAGTTTGTGGCAACTGGGAACTTTGCCTCCCGGGTTGATAGCTTTCCATGGCCATGTCCAGACCATAGATCCTTTCTGGCATATGCTAGGTCTTGGATACCAAGAGACCACGAGCTTTGCTGATGCTGAAAGCGCCGCTGTTGTACATTTCAATGGAAGAGCAAAGCCTTGGCTTGATATAGCATTTCCTCATCTACGTCCTCTCTGGGCTAAATATCTTGACTCGTCTGACAGGTTCATCAAGAGCTGTCACATTAGAGCATCATGATAATCACATACCAGAACTCATTTCCTACATTGGCACCCAGAGAAGAGAGAGATTCACAGATCAGAACATAGGAGCAAACTTTTCACTGGAGCTCTCACTGCTCTACCAGATCATGTTTTGCTGTCTCTTCAGTCTCTCCTGTTTCTTATTTTTTTGTACTTTCAAACTCTTATGGCGAGGAAGTAAAACCCATTCTATGTATTAATGTAAGAACACATAAAGTGAGAGACGAACTGCCAAACTCTACTTAAATTTACATGTGAATAGATAACATTGCGCGAAGCAATTGGGAGTTTACAATATCATATCATTGTTCAACAGATAACAATTACGATGATAACACGATAAAGTGAAAGCAACGATAAGACTAAGAAAGCCGAGAAAGAGGAGAGCAAAATAAATGGAGACTTTTCTTTTCAGCGGAAGCAAAAGGCAAACCGATTGATGATTTTTTTTGATTAAGCAACAGGTGGGCGAAGGACATGATCCTGAGAAGTATCAACTGAAGCAGGAGGCATGAACTGCCACATGGCAACTCCTGGGTAACTGATGATTGGCACCATCTTGTTTCCGGGAGCTTGGCCTTGCGCAGAAGCAAAAGCAGTTGGCATCATAGGTGGGGCTGGGAAAAAGCTTGGTTGAGGAGCATTCATGGTTTTCAGCTGTTGCTCCAGCTTTTCTTTCTCTGTCTTCAGCCTCTGTTTCTCATCTCGCAGCTCGTTTTTCTCAGTCTGGTTGACATAATGCAGGAACTAGTAAGCATTTGATGATATTATGTGGAGAAAAGAGGATTACAAATTTCACCTTTAACTCTTTGATTTTGTCCTGGAGACTTGAATTGGAGTCCTTAAGCTTCTGGGCCTCTCCTCGTAGCTGTGTCACCATGCGGACAGCATCGACCAAGAT